GTGGTCGTAGATGGGGACAGTGAATAGTGAACAACATTGTGTCGTGCTAGGAGTATCTATAGCAGTCTTAATACGATAACATCTAGTCATAAACCATTACTCATAATTATGTTGTTACTTTCTATTACTACTACTTGGGTTAATATCAAGTATTATTGTAATAATAAGCCTTGTAGTAGTTGTGTTTTACTCATACATAATGAGTGTTGCTACTACTACTACTGCTACAGATCCATCTCGTCCTACTATTGACTTAGTTACAAGTAGTTGTTGTATGGTAAGAAGCTTATCTAGATGTGGATCTATGTCTACTACAAGACCATTAATAAAGATATCCTTACATAATGATAAAGATGTTAAAGTACTTAAAGATAGGTTACATAATAAGGAATTATTAATATTCCTTGATTATGATGGTACTCTAACCCCTATAGTATCTAATCCTGGTGATGCTAAGCTCAGCTCTCAAATGTAATAAAACCTATACTGCTGTCAACAGTATCATTATTATTATCAGGGCTAGAGTATTAGAACGTTTATCATTATTACACAGAGTATCTATCGTTACTGGTAGATCAATGGATACTATATTATCCTTCTTACGTGGAGCCTTCCTACAACAACAACAGCATGATGCTGGTGGTGGTCATGATGATCCTGATGCCATTCTAAAGAGGATACATTATGCTGCATCTCATGGTTTTGATATTAAAGGTCCTAATGATACTCATTATCAGGTAGTATTGTTGGCTTATACCACCACCACAACAACACTTATTATTACAGGTTGGTAGAGCTTATTTACCTCAATTATATGAGGCTAGAGATAGACTTATAAAGGAAGCTCAGAAGTATCCACACTGTGTAGTTGAGGATAATAAATTCAGTATATCTGTCCATTATCGTAATGTTCATCCTGATCTTCATGTAGAGGTAATTATAATATTACTACTACCTTCTTGGTAAGACTTGATAAGTATTGTTATTAGGTATCTGATATGGTCCATAGTATTGTTGCTCAATATCCACATTTACGTTTACATTATGGTAAGATGGTATATGAGATAAAGCTTAATTTAAGTTGGAATAAAGGTAAAGCTGTATTATGGCTACTAAATGCATGGGGTAATACCAACAACTACAACAACATGTTGTTCACGTCGTACTGTTGGAATTACTACTAGGATGATACTATTTCAGATGTCCTAACCACAAGTGTTATTCATGATAATGAGGAGGAGGATACTATAGAGGATTATCATCATCATCATAATGATGATGAAGATGACACTGAGTATGATGGTAATGCTGATCACGTGGGTATACCCGTTGGCGTCGATACTACTACTACTAGTGGTATATTACCTATATATATTGGTGATGATATAACAGATGAGGATGGGTTTAGAGCAATTAAAGCGTCCTTCCCTACAAATGGTATGGGTATCCTAGTACACAATAGTAATCATGAATTAGCTCGTCCAACAGCAGCAACATATACATTGGAAAATACACATGAGGTAATCTAATAATAATAACAATAATATTATTGTAAACTCATCATTATTAGGTTATGGAGTTCTTAGAACTCTTATGTAGTGTTAAGGAGGATGCATCATCATCATCATCATCATCATCATAATCTAGTCTACTTGATTAATAGTAACAGTATGGTGTATATCTAGTGTTATGGTAGCTACTACATCATCATCATCATTCTTTATACCTACTGTTATCCTAATACTGTTTTATTCATATTTATCACTATTGATAATCTTAATATTGCTACTACCATCCTGGAGTAATACTCCTCCAATGCATAATTACTCTACAACCACCATAATCATCATCTCTCTTACTGTATAATATGTATATTTAACGCAATCTATGTAGTACTGCACTAGTACTACCAATGGTCGTAGTGTTGTATATTAATGAGTCTGGTGGGTGTCTTTATCGATGTAATAGGTGTAGGAAGATGATGATGATGACTCTACCATTGAGTAATGCTGGTGGCCTCTGGGGCGGCTCATTATCGTTAGCTCGTAGTCATTCTTGTTATGAGTGTATTCCACATATCATCATACTACTCACCTAATGTACTATAGAGTATACTAATCATCTCATGGTCATCATCATCATCATCATGCCTACTACCCGCTGCTGGTGGTGTTGTTGCTTCTGCTATGGTTGTTATAAGTGTCCTATCATCACTGCTATGGTTTATTATCTATACATGAGTATATTCATGAGGTCTATCCAAGGACTGTCATCCCACATTATTATGGACATATGTAATTGGATTATGATTAAACAGGTGGGCTGAAAGGTCACAGAGAAGCGTTTGATGGATGAACAGACTAAAATGAGTAATATATACAACGTCTTAAGGAGAATGGTAAACTTGACAACTCTTCTTCTTCTTCGATACAGGCGACACGACGACGATGCTTACCATTGCTAGGCCTTCTTGACTCTGGAGGGGGCTACTGTGACCAGAGTAGATAAGACTATCTATTAGTCTTAGTGATAGATAGCCTAATTGTAATAATCTACATATGCTTTTAACAATGGTTCTAATCCGAGGAGAACATAGAAAACTGT